TCCCTGAAGATGACACGAGAGTGTCGAAACGCGTAGGAGGGACAAGGAAAAAATATAGGCATTTCGCCTTTTACTCCATCGGCCGAAGCAGCTCCAACCCAGCAAACAAAATTCATAGGAATTTGGCCCATACAAAGATAATTATTACCATCGGTGAGCTTACTCGAGAAAACAACTAAAAAGACTCCCTGAAGATGACACGAGAGTGTCAAAACGCGTAGGAGGGACAAGGGAAGAATATAAGCTTTTCGCCTTTTACTCCATCGGCCGAAGCAGCTCCAACCCAGCAAACTAAATTAAAGTTAATTTCCTCAAAATCCATCGAAGGTGCCACTATTGATGGCTCAGTATATCCAGTAAACAAACTGAGTTGTTTTTTTCGCCAAATTTGGTCCCCATAAAGGAATTAGGGTTGCAGACAACGCTTTTTCGGCAATTAGGGTGTGTTTACTGTGGTGAAAATTTTTAGCACTGAATGTATGAAATATTAAAGATTTGCTTCACTATATTAATAAAACTTAACGTAATTGTATTTTTCATTTTAGTAATACTAATTAGTGCTATTGTTTACAAGGCGAAGCGATGTAAATAATATGTGTAATGAAATAATTTAGTCAAATTAAAACCATATTAAACGTAAAAACACATATATTTAGATATATAAATTTAAATGGTGAAACATGTTTTATAAATTAATATGACTTCTAATATAAATTATAGTCATATACAATAATAAACATATATGATATATACATATTACCATACTATTTTGTAACGAGTTACCTAAATCAAGACACGACCCACAAATTGGAGAAGATTGGCCAAACACTTAGCTAAAAGTACAAGTTGTAGGCATTCGAGTACTTATAATTTGATTCCGACAGAATATTCGTGATAGGAATAAAAAAATATTTATTTTCTTCATTCCATACATGATTTTATTTTATTATTCTGGAATTGAACAATTTTTTTTTTTAATTTAACAAGAGCTGTAAAAAGGTGTTTCACTTTAAGTTCCTCGGAGCTAATTTTGGAGAATATCATACAAGATTTTCCTAAACAGAAAATGCATCACTGAGAGCATTATTATTGAGCTAGAAAACCAAAACAAAAGCGTGAATTTATATACGTTTTGCAATATAATTGAGTTTTTTTATAATTTAAGTATACTTTTTCCCTCATTCGGCGTGATATACATATTTATGCAGCGATATATGTGATATATTTTGCAATGCAAGTAAAATGCTAATCTAGGACGCAGTACAAA